ATCCTGACATGTTCACGATCAACCGAGTAAAACTGCCGAGAGCTGGAAAAGAAACATAAGGTCTGCGAGTAGTAGGCAATAAAGCATGGGGTTAGATTTGCACCCGAGAAGTACCAGCTGATGCACTTCTCACGATCAAGAAAAGAATACAATCTGAAAGCAACAATCGAAATACAAAGTCATACGACAGTCCCGCAGCCTTCTCTCCGTGTCCTCGGAATTTACTTCGATCTAAAGCTAAACTGGGGAGCGCACGTCAAAAGTATACAGCTAAAGGCAGAGATACAGGTTTAGGTAATGAGCAGGTTAACACAGTCTACATGGGGGGCGAAATTTCATAAGGCCAAACTGCTATATAGCACAATAAGTGAGACCGGCCTTCACGTATGGGTCCCCGATCTGGGCCCAGGCCGGGCCAGGTGGTAAAATACCTGAAAGGATAGTGAAACCCCTTCGAAGCATCCAAAGAAATTGCTTAAAAATAGTGACAGGAGCGTATAAGTCGACTAGCACGAGGGTACTCGAACACGAAACTGCCACCCTAGCAATAGAAATCTACCTGAAGCAGCAAAGACTCCAATACGTTGGCCGCTCGGAAAACCTACCAACTCAGAAGCTCATACAATCTGTCTGCAGCAATTTTAAGCTGCCCAAATGAGGGAGAGAAGACATTCGAGCCAATAACAGGAGACTAGATCTGGTAAACTGGTTGGAAATTTGTAGGGAAGACCAGTCACAAAATCGGCAGAAAGAGGCAGGAAAAGTTGCAGCATACCAAGAATATGCTAAATCCTGGAAAAATCAAAGGCGGCTCCAATTACCTCGACATAAAGCAATCGCCGACCCCGAAACCTGGAGAGCAGTCAAATTCTATCAGAATCGAAAGTCGGATCGATGGAAAATAAGTCTCCAGGAATCGCCATTCCTACTCTACCGAAACCTGACAAGGGCCCAAAGCAGTCTAGCGATTCAAATACGAAGTGAGCACATGGAGCTCAACTCGTATTTATATGGAAGAAAAGTACCCGGACTCTACAGTATAAGTTGTCCATGTAGCTACCAATTGCAGAACCCCAAGCACATGATTATGTACTGCCCTTGATAGTCAAATGGAAGAGGAGAGATCTGGAGACAAGCGAAAGATCGGTCCTACGAAGCTATGCTAAGCAATCCTGGGGATATCAAAAGGATAACACAGTGGATCCTAAACCATGGTTGGATAGAGCAATTCCAGATGACAAAAGCAGTCGAAATACTGCTGAGGGAAAGGAAAAGGTCATGCCTTTCTTGAGGTCGATAAAGCTGATGTGATTGGGTTATTTGGAGGGCACTATAGTGTAACTACGCTTCCTAAAGGATACTTTATAAAAACATAGAAATTAAGCAGGAAGGTTTGGGGGGCTTTCACCAAAAGGTTTCCTCCCATGTAAATTAGAAAGTATGATAGATACCTGTATGTGCCCATAGGGCGCCAAATCAGGATAGTGAAATCAGATTCAAAAATAATATGTATTTCATTTCCGTCGTCTTCCACAGCTCCCCATCACTGAACGAGCTAGGGTTTGCAGGAGCACCCTAGCATGAGGTGATAGTTCCACTGCCAATTAGCCGTAGGATTCTCTACAAATCCTGGGGGAATACAAGGAGTATGTAAGTGCCTGTACAACTGAAATCTCTTCCTATTATTCATGCCAATATGGGAACATGGTTTGAGAGCAAATTATATCGACGGACAGTCTCATTGATCGATACCTGTTACATTCATGGTTTTAGATGGATAAGGGATTGTTATGATAACGAGGTCATGAGGGGATAGAGGAATACCTGAAATGGATGCAGATGATTGTGGATGCGCGGATATAATTGATATGGCTGTAGTGACAAGAAGCGTTGGAATGGACAGTAGTGAGATGGTTATTTAACAATCCATCTGCGGAAGTATTGCTTCCTTATATATACATTCAGTACCCCAGTCCTGATCACGCACTCACCACAGGTGCTTCCTACTTCTGTCACAGTAACCGCTTCCATAGCCCCTGCCAATATCTCCTGTCATAACATACTATTGACACTGGTTGCTAGTGTGGAACTCCCGGGATTGCAGAGCTATACACCGTTGTCACATTATATGCTGTTGCCCCTTGGTAGCCATCAGAGTGATGTGCACTTCAGTCTAAACGCATTGGTCCACCAGGCGACGCTGCCGGCAAAGACGAATTCTTCACCTTCCAGTGGTGCCGGTGTAATCGCTCAGTATGCTCTGCATATCTGGGATAGCCAAGAAGAATCGCATCCGAATCGAAGTCGAAAGCAAACACATGTATATCTCCATTTGACGACTTCTCAACCATGCAGCACTCATCATTATCTTCTGAGTCCTCAACCCCGATCTAAGCACATATCAACTCGCCTCGCCGACCGATAGAGGCGTCACCCTAACTGCAAACAGGAGCTTGCCTCATTCATTACCGGCCATCACTCTCTACATATTTACGACGCTATTTATACCCGCAAGGAGGAAATCAAGTCGAAAAATACAAAGTTGGGGTCTTGGTTTATGGGGGACTGCTGCTCTAATGGGGTTATACATCTTGAGGAAGAACAGGCAGCTGAGATGTGGAGCGAGAGGAGAAAGAAGACTCTGAAGACTGTGTTGGGACTGACATTTTCGAGGAGTTTCCAACTTTGGATTTTTTGTGGGCGCCAAGACTAAGATTTCGGCTAATTAGCCAGGAGGGCTTCTTTTGTCGATGAGTCAACGGCACTCCCCAGCGCCCTGGACGGTACAAAAGAAGTTAGGCTAAGCTACTATACAGCAATCACGCTCTGTCAAGACTTTTCTGACATTTCAGCACGACCTTCGGGAAGGAGTTGGAAGGAGGCTAGAAAGGCAGAGGGTGAATTTCCCGAGGTACACACAAGTCTGCAGCGCCCAGCTGGCCGGCCTCTTCGAACGCTTCAGAAGGGGCAATATGTCTTCGGATTTATTCCTAATGTCGGTATTAGAAGAGCCCCGCACCCAGTGGTTTTTGCGAATTTTCCCGGCTGCCATACACCCGCAAATGGCCATCGTTTCGTTGGCTGGAGAGGGGAGATAATGAAGGGCAAAGGGCTCCTCTTAGTGTATGATCGAATGAGGACTTGTGAGGGGTGGTACTGTTTGAGGGGAGCTGTATGGGAGGCATAGGAGGGGATATACTACTGGTATAGGTATCCTTGGCCTGTAGGCAGAGAGGACCTGCATGTCCTACATAGTCATAGACTCAGACAGGACAATAAAATGAATTAATAATAATAATAACCAGGCGACGCTCGGATGTAGGGATGTTGCCAGAGTGATTAGGTACTTAGCTGTGCTATCAGCGCCCTAATCTCATCTAGATTACTGCGGCCCAGTGTCCGAGTGCCGCGATGGTGGGAGCCCGATGAGGCTCGATCTGTGACGGTCTTAAAGTGGCGTTTTATTCAAACTGAACTCAGAGCTAGATACAAATGAAAATCTTAAAGTAACGAGCAGAGGCATGACTGAAAGCCTCCTATTTATTTACAAGACTATGATCTCGTTCCCTCATTTCATACCATTCTCAAAATAGATCATGACCTGTCCTCCGACAAACACCAGCATCTCCGTCTATTTTAATTCGGCTTCATTTTAATGTTAGTAATTTTAGTTATTAAAATAGTTATGATGCATGTGGCTTAGATGACTCACGACTGGTGTTCGAGTCGTCCTGTCTGCAATCTAAATTTATCATTTAAGAATAGATTTGCATGAACTGGGCCAAGGCCTATACTTGGGTCTAATGAGTCGTGGAGGGGTTCATGACATGTATGGTGTTTAATATGGTTGGAAGAGTTCAAGCCTTATTTGTTAGGCAGCAGCCTAATGATAACCAGGTATGAGCCTGTGACACGATCGGAGCTGGCACGAGGTATTCACAACAGGAATGAGGTATGAGGGAGAGTATAAAGAAGAATATAGGATGAGAATTATGGTGGATGAGAAATTGTTTTTCGACGATCTGAGAATAAATGGATATCGAAAGATGAACATATGGTCTACGTGGAAAGTAAATGCACATAATGATATACATATTCAATTTGCTCTACAGCCATGCCCATCAAGTAGCTGATGTACTCATGTAATGCGTACCGACATTGTTTGATCCTTGCGTTCCTACTTATCAGCACTACTCATATTTGAGTCATGCATTAGTATGAACTTGCATCGATATTGCCACGCAATAGAACTGAGTGTCATTTCATAGTTGAATAGCCCCCTACATGAGTAGTCCAAATTTCAAACTGATTTATTGTCGTGTATAGTCGTCGGAGAAGCTGATCCTCTAGGTGTCATGCTCTGTGAACGCAGGGCTTGCGCCGGTCACGAATGAATATTCATCCATTCATACGTGAATAGCGTCGTGGTATCACGTTAGCTGGTAAGGGTGCCTGGCTCCGATTTGTAACTCTGATGACCATGCTTGAAAATGGAGAATTAGAGTCTCTATTGGGTCTATGACTATGAAAGACTACTATTACTACCTAAATAGCTTTTAAACCAAATAGTAATTTCGAAAATTTATTTTTGTTATAATTACCAGCTGGATTCCGATGGTTAAGCCCTAAATGCTAGGAAGAAAGAGAGAATACTAGAAATTTATTACTTGGCCAAATATTCAAACGCCTTTAACCAAGTGACCCCCGTTGTATTAACACTGAGTCTTGGCTATGAAGCCCTTGCTTCCTTGCGTAGATTAGGATCACAACAGAGTCCACTGTATCCATCACATCCATCTGACATGACCACGTCTTCTACTGTCGCTCCAAAAATACTCCTGAGCAGCAATATCCCCGAAACCACACATGCTGCTTTGCTAGCACATCTATTGTTGTCTGTTAATCTCAAATATAGATATAAAGGCCTTGAAATCGCCTCTTATAAACATTGAACGTTGATCAGCCGCTCACGAATCCCCAGATACGCCAGCTATCCAAATATGCGCACTTCTACTTTACTGAGCTGCCTCATCACCTGGCTCGTTTCTGTTGTGTCTATGGTGAAATGTTACGACAACTATAAATGTGAACATGGGGCCATCATTTCGGCAGAGCAAATCACAAACACTCTCACGTCACCAGGGATAAAAACCAACAAAATGAGTTCAGTAGTAATTGATGACGAAAGAAGACACTTTTACTGGCGGGAAATCTCAGTCGCGCCTGAGTATCTCGCCATAAATGGTGAGACGTCCAACACACGAGCTCTTGACCTCAACTTAGTTAATCTGAACTTAGGAGCGACGTTTAGCTATCGAGTGGTATTTTATAATGAAGGAATATTTTTCGATATCCTAGAAGTCAAACATGCTGAAATAGGGAGGCAGATAATTTCGTGTGAAGCTGTAGAGAGTAAATCGCTGTTTCGGCGTAAGCGGATACCTGCGAGAAATCTTGAGAATGTTTACAGTAAGATTGAAAACGTTATGGGCTAGATCCGGTTGGTTGTAGCTGGACAGTTTAGGGCTTCAGGGCCCATACTTATCTCGTGGGCGCGAGCGAGTGAATTTGGATGGTTTTGTTTTTAATCAACTTCGCGTTAGATCACAATACAAACACAAGGTCTCATGCTGGCCGGCCCAGTCTGTGCAATCTACCCATCGTGGGCTGGTTTGCTTTAATATATTACATCTACCCAACATAAAGGGGGACTTATCTCAACACCTGTCAGAGGTGTCCCCTAAAAACCTCCAGCTCTCACTGTAGAGCCTGCAGAGCCGAGATTGAGTAACACCTTTTCAACTTTGAGCTGAGTTATCTCCCCCTCCGTCAAAGATGCGCTTCAAATAACGCATGAGACGACCAAGAAGATGATAATGATGCTTGGAATGAGGAAAGATTATGCGACATCAAACGCTACAACAGTAGTCAGAGAAGCCCTCGTTATATCACAACATGTGCTACCCACCGGCGGGCGAACAAAAAGCCCACAAAAGCAAAGAAAAAGACACTTCCGCCCTCAAGAAAAGCAGATTTCGGCTCGTCAAAAATATCGTCCCTACTAATCTATACCTCCGAATCTACTAGCCAGGAGGGCATCTGAAATACATGAGTTACTCGACAACCCCACGTCCGTAACGACTTTTGGATGCTAGGCTAGGCTCCTTCGCGACTGTCAATCTCGACCAAGACTTTTCTGACATCCTTTCACGACCAACGATTTGTCCTGCGGCATGAATCAGGGAAAGAGGAAGGAGGGGGCTAGGAAGGTTGAAAGACACTCTTAGCTACACACAGATCTGCTGCGCCCGGCTGGCTGGCCTCTTCGTCATAGGAGAGCACCGCACCCAGTGGTTTTTGAGACTTTTCCCTGCAGCTACACACCCGCAAATGGCCATCGTTTCGTTGGCTGGAGAGGGGAGATAATGACGGGATAACGGTTCCTCTTAGTTTGTACTCGAATGAAGACCTGTGGGGTAATTACTGCTGGAAAGAAGTCGTGAGGGAGGCAAAGGAGGGAGTACACTACCCGAGGCATAGATACTCCCGGCCTGTAGGCAGAAAGGACCTACATGTCCTTATATAGTTAAAGACTTTTTAGGACAATAAAAACTTACTCACTCCAGCTCTTTGCAATCACTTTTACGACCGCCTGATAAGAATTGAACAATTCTTCTCATCTTGTGCTTGAGTGACAATCAGAATTAGATTTCTCAAATACAAAATTATTTATTCAGAATACACATGGCTTTATTTGATACTAACCTTATTTTGCAGATGAATCCACCTCAAACCCCACCTTCAACACCTCGAATCAAACAATTATCTAGAGATCAAAACATTTTAGTGAGTAGAAAAATTAGATATGAACAAATATAAATTAAAAGAAAAATTAAGATTTGTGGGCTTCATGAATCTGGCAAAAACCAGACGCAGATTGCCGCGAAACTAAGCATTTCTCGGGGTCAAGTTAGTTATTTACTGCCCCACAGAACTGTCTCCCCCAAAAAGAGAAAAAGAACATCCTCAAGGCTGAAGCAGATGATGTTGATCAGATTATATCTTACATTGAGTTTTCACCTGGAAACCGCCGCAAAACATTTCTCGAACTCGCCTCTGGCCCCTTTAGACATCTTGGTGTTAGCAAGCGGGTAATACAAAGAGAACTTAAAAAAAAGGATATCAGCGACATGTGGCTCGTCTAAAGCCTTCAGTATCTCAGAAAAAATATGAAGACACGCAGAGAATGGGCCGAAGCTCATCTCAATTTGACATATGAAGATTGGACATCAGGTGTATGGACAGACGAAACTTTGGCAGAGGATGGAAGACATTCTAGCGAATGGGTGACAAGAAGTGTTCGTGTTAACATTTCTATCTTGATGTTTACCCGTACAAACATACCGTATAATAGTAACTCACATTGATACTCGGGAATGCAATGGATAGCAGAGATTGATGGTGTTTATGGCAGTGCGGGGTCTGGTAATTAGTGACAGGGATAGGACACGTGTATTATTTTTTTTTTTTGCATCAGATTTTAATTGCGTATGCAGCTATCTAGCTATGACACAATATCAAAGACAAATTTTTGTAGTTCGAATTTTCACCATTTCCCCCTCTCCCTCCCTCTCGCGCTCGTCGCATTCTATCAAATAATTGTGATCGAGTCACTGGTATTTTCACCATGCCACCTGTTCGAAAAAAGCGTCCCAACGCCAAGTTGGACAACACGAGAGTCCACCCGAGGGCTCTCGAACAAGATCCTGGCCTTGCCCAGTCTCCGAAATGCGCGGAGATGAGCAAGGTCTCAATCAAAGGGACGGAAAAAGCCCTACCTGCCGCCACTGAACCCGATGCTGACATGATCGGGTCAGTCGAAATTGTTGAGGAAATTCCTCAACCACCCTCCGTCCCCCACGGGATTAGAGAATCATCCAAACCGCCTCCGACCGTGTCAAAACCGTCCGAAAACGCTGCACACACAGCAGCGTCAACATCAACGTCGCAGCCAAAAGCTGCTACGAAAGCAGAGTGTCCCCTCGAGCTCCGACCAATAGTCGAAGCTGAACAACGACGCGCCGCCGAAATAGCGGCAAATCTGGCCCTCTGCTCCGCCGCCATCTCTGGCGTCGAAGCAACCGTTCTTCCTTTGACCAACGGGTCAAACAGACAATTCGTAGACTCGATGATAGTCTACCTACGCGCCGCCATCGCGCAACAAATGGCCACGGGCCCGGCCACTACGCCACCGGTTCTCCCTCCTTGCCCGACGAACCCTCTCCCAAGGGTTCCCGACGCCAGGAGCCAAACAATACCCACCGTCCCAGATCTGCCCGTCAAAAGCACCTGGGCCACGGTGGCCAGGAACGGACTGCGACAGAAAGCAGTCCCAACTGCAAAGGCTGTGCCGCAACCTGCGGCAAAAGCCCACCAAAAAGAAACCCCCAAGGCAAAAGTCGACAAGCGACTGTTACTTCGCCTTGAAAAGGACCACCCGTGGCGAAAACTGTCCACAAGTTGCGTGAGAAGTAAATTGGAGATGAGATTTCTTTTCTTTCACGATAAAATAACCTCGCTTCCTCGAGTAAGGACCGGCTTTGCTATGCTAGCAAAGAACGTTAAAATATGACAAGAGATGCTAGATGGCTCTTCGAAGCTGGCGAGTGAAAACGCCAAACTCGAGGCATCTTCAGATCTTGTAGCCTTACAGATACCCAACGTACCTGTAAGTATAATCACAGAGTGAGGCCCTATGACGGTCGATTCTGAGTGGGTCTTCGACAAGATCGCTGTTATAACCGGCGCGAGCCCAATACACGTACGACCTTATGGGACGTGTCCATCTGGGGCACCGCACCGAAACTGGCATGCCCTTTTCGACCGGGAAGTCGCCCCTCGTGCGGGCTTCCGCCTCTTCGACGAGTCTGGTAGGGCTACCATACACAAGCCTCGTCGACAAATTGAACAGTGTAAACGCTGTTTGGGCTTCCACGCCACTCGTGGTTGCTCCCGCGCTCCAGCCTGCCGGAACTGTGGACCAACTATGCACCCGGAAGCCGAGTGCAGGGCCCTCACAAAGTGTCGTAACTGTGGGGGACCCCACCTATCGGATTCTCGGGACTGCAAAGTCAGACCCAGAAAGTCTGGGCCGGTGACAAAAGAGCAGCTCGCATGGATACGCTACCTCGAGCAAGGGAAGTTCGCTGAGGCGGCTCGAGCTAGGGCCGCAGCCAAAAAGGCCGAAGAGGCGATTATCGCCGCGGCGAAGGATGTCTCGATGGCCGAGGCAACAGGTTTCGGAGCTCTGGGATCTGAAGAAGAAGTTTGAGGATACAGCAACCTCGACGATGTCCCCTTCTGGGGCATCTACTAACAATTAGCAGGATACCGGCTGGATCAAAGGTGCCTGCTAACTCATCTACTGCTCTCAGCGGAGATTAAGTAAATTTGTCATTTGGAAGGTGTGACGGACGACGGAATGTGTGAGGAGCACATTGACTGGGTCCATCATAGGGGAATCTTCTGTTCTATCGGAGCTGTTTTGAATTTCTTGATTTTTCGTTTCAGTTTAATCAGCTGCACTTTTGGTAGCGGTTCACGAGGTTGGAACGAGTTAGGCTGTAGGAAAGATTACAGGGAACCCTGCCGGCTCCGCCTGTCCTTGACCCAATGTGGAAAACATAGCTTTAGCTTAGGACAAAATAAACAAAACAAAAACAATATCAAAGAAAAGTACAGAAAAGATGACTCAATTTACAAGAAAAGTACTCATGCCTCAGATTTCATTTGCAAGTACCACTGCGAAGTTATGATGGCTTTTTCTTCACCCCAAGTCAACCCTCATCCGTGAATACCCACACAGGGAAACGTCTAAAATCCCTAAGTTATCCAGACATGCCTCCATCATCCATTCACATTTCTCCGCGCGAAATATGGTCTTTGGTGTCTCCTTCCCAAGTGGAGTAGGTACCCAGGTGTGACGAAACCAAGCTGGTTGTAGTGTACTTTTAGAAAGATTAAACTATATGAAGAGAGAAGTATCACAACTACGGGTAATGACTATTTGTACATCCTTCTAGCTCATCCAGTACGTACTCTGTTGGTGAGAATGACATATTGCTCCGCCACTGCCCGTAGTCATCTTTGCCATCTAGCTGACTCTCTCACTTGGCAATTCTACTTCGCCGTCTCACATTCCTTCCTAGCTTTAATTTAATGTGGCCAAGTGAAACTTAGTCGCTTGATACAAGATAATATGTAACACTCTCCCGAATACGCCCCAAAACTCCGCTTAGGTCTCCGCCTAAGCCAAACCACGGTCAAACCGTAACACCAGGCTACTCAGACTATACCGGAGAACACCACCAGGAGGCGGACCACGGCACCTTCCATCGTCGGCTTGTATTTATAGTGTCAGCTGCACTCTTGCAATCGAAGGCTTGACACGCACAAAGCTCAATTCATGAAACTCTTTGCCAAAATTCGAAATTTC